TACTTCTTGGCTAATGCAAATGTTCCTGCTCTGAGCATGGATTTGCAAATATCTCTTTAAGATCCTACTTTCAGATCTTTTGTACATAAACCTAGATGTAGGATTGAAGTATAATGTAATAATTACATTTTTAATATTTAAATGAACTTTTGTGCTGCTTTCCATTGTAGCTGCACTGTTTTGTATTTCCAAGAACAGTGCAGAAGGGTTCACTTTCTCCACCTCCCCATAAACATTTCTGTTTTGTACAGTGATGCTTCTGAAGGGTGTGGGGTCGTGCTTAGTTTTAATGTTGATCTGCATTTCTTGTATGTTTGCATCTGTTTGTTGACCATTTGTACACCTTCTTGGTGAAATGTATAAATATTTTTCGTATTCTTTAATTGGGCTGTTTGTGAAGAGGTTTGTTGTCATTAAGTTGTAGGAACTTTTTATGTATTTTTATACAAATATATGATTTGAAAACATTTTCTCATTTCATTCTGTTGATTGTTCTCTTTAATGTAAAGAAGTTTTTGAGTTTGATAAAGTGATTTTGGTTTTGTTGATGATAGTTTTGTTTTCATATCTAAAGGATTATTCCAAAATCAGATATCGTGAAATTTTTCTATGTTCTAGAAGTTTTGTGTTTTTGTGGTTTTTGTGGTCTTATGTTTAGGTCTTAGTCATTTTAAATCAGTTATTTTTTAATATGGTGTCAGGCACAGGTTGAACTTCATTCTTTTATATATAGAAAACTGAAAACTGGACGCAGTATTCCCAGCATCAGTTGTTACAAGGTGGGCCTGTCGTCGGCGCCTGGCCCTGAGGTTCCTATAAAAGCTCCATTACATGGCAGCATTAATTTCGGGCTTCCATTCTATTCCACCGGACTGTGTGTCTGTCTTTTTGCCAGTATTGTGTTCTTTTGATTATCAAAGCCTGGTAATATGTTTGGAAATAAAGAAGTATGTTACCTCCAACTTCATTCTTATTTTTCAAAATTATTTTGGCTCTTTGGAGTAATTGAGATGCCATATAATTGTGGGGGGCAGTAAAAAAATACCTGCCTAAAATGCTGCTGAAATTTTGATTGGGCTTGCATTGAATCCTTAGACAATTTTAGATATTCTAGATATTTGAGTATAGTAAGCCTGTCAATCTACTGTTTTGGTGAACACCAGCTGTCATTCCTTTTATTTTGCTTTATTTTATTTTATGTCTTTCGTAATGTTTTATAGATTTCAGTGTGTAATTCTTTCACTCTCATCATTAGTTTTATTCCTACTTATTTTTTTCTTGTCAATATCATTGTATATGGGAATGTTTTAAAGTTTTTCTTTTAGATTGTTCATTGGTAATGCATAAAACAACCAATTTTTATTAATTCTTTAAATGCTTAATAGAGTTCTCCATGAGGCCATCAAATTCTAGGTGAATGTTGTTGTCAGGAGGTTTTGGATTACTGATTCAATTTTCTTACTTGTTATAGATCTCTTCAAGTTTTAAAAGAATGTCTTCATAGCTCAGTCTTGGAGGTTGGATGTTTCTCGGAGCTTGCTCATTTTACTCTGAACTCTTGATTGCCTTTCTAGATCCAGCCTACTCTCAGGAACCTAGATTTGATTATAGGTTTTCAACAGTTCTTTTTAGAACCTTTTTGCTGAAGACTGGATAAGGTTCATCAGAAAGGCACACGGTGTGATAAGCAGCTTCCTGGCTCTCAGAGGTGCTGGAGAGCTCAGTGCTTCTCCAGGTGACTCATGGAGACCTGATTTTTCCATCTCCACCTGCTTCGACTTCCCTGAAAATATAGCAGCAAGGTTCAGACTTAAGTATCTAAAATGAAGAGCTTATATGAATGTTAGCATAAAATTGTAAGAGATTTTTCTCCTGTATGAAGGGCCTATATGTATATTCTAAATTCCTACAGAGAAAAATGAAGAAAAGTAGCTCTTCGGGCCCCAAAGTGAAATATTAGTTAACTATTCACCATACTTCTAGGAGCTTTTAAAAGCTATCCCAACTGTACTGATTTCCCAGTCTTGAAAATGTATAATTTTGGTCGGGAAGTAACAGAGATCATGTAACTGGTGAGTGGTGGTGCAAAAAATATGGCATGTTGGGTACAGTTTTACAGTTATTAATAGAAAAAACAAGCTGATGTACACTTTATATTCCCCGGCAAACATGATCGCGTTGGGTTTCAGGTGGACCGGGCCACCTTGGAGTTGGAATTTGCACAGTAGGATGAAACACTTCTATTTACTTGAACTGACGAAGCGTTTTCATTTCTTTGAGATTGAGATAATTTAAGAAAAGAGCAAAAATTTTGAGGCAACTAATAATTCATGTTGGTGTGTTTTTTTGTAATAAAATTAGGAATGATTTCCCTTTACTTTTTATTTGGCAATATTTATAGAATCGACTTGAATTTTTAACCCCCAGTTTTATGTAAGCTCTAAAGTGAGCTTAATAGCAGAGAGACACTTTTATTTTCAGCTTTGCCCTAAGCATTTAAAATTCTCAACTGAGTCACTGTTGCAGTGTTGAGTCATATCATCGGGAAATTAGTGCTATTTTAATGAACAGCGTTAACCTTCAAATTCTAGCGAGGCAAAACATTTAAAGTACTCTCATGTAGCCTTGGTTTCTAAGGCCGAGTTTACTTGGATACATCCTTGTTGGGTGAGTGTTTGATAAACTCTGTTATGTTCAGAGTGTCAGGAGGTAGTCGGTGAAGCAAGGTTACCCACTAATTTGCTCTTCTTGCTGCCTTTCCTTTTCCCTCTTCACATAACATTTTAGCACCAGAATGCCCTGAGTTTCTCACATTGCACCTGTTTCCTTGAGAGCATGTGTGGAGGTCCTAGCAGGGGCCCAGAGGTCTCCTTCTTGGAAGAATGGGCCTTCTCTTCTGGGGAAGGTCACCCTCTTTGACCTAGCACGATTCAGGGCAGCAGGGACCCACATGGAGTGATGCCAGCCGAAGGGACACTGCTAAGCCATCCCGTGGTCCCTGGGTGACAGGTGTTGCAGCCAGACTACCCTCGTGTCATCAGTCTTACTTTCGTCGGTTCCTGCAGGCATCCCTTTCGTGGCTCAGGCTTCTCAGATCTAGGCTTTATCAGTCATCTTTGTGCAGTCAATTTTAAAGTTATACAGCTTAGATACCTCTCCGGAATGACATACTAGTTCATCCAGCTTCTTACTTGATACCTAGAACTAAGTTTCAAATAGATATTTCCACAGTTAACATTTGCAAAACTAAACTTCTGGTCATTCACCTCAAGCCGCTCTGCCTGTCTTTCCTATCTCAGTCCATGGCGACTGCAATACATTCCTAGGGATTTAGAGGTCAGAAACTCAGGTCAGAAGCTCAGCTTTTGCTTTGCTTTTCCTTTTATACCATGTATTCAACCATTTAGGATATCTTGGCGCCTCTGTCTTCTTAAGACAAGGTCTGAGTCTCTGTGGGTGGATATTCTTAGACAGTAAGAAGAGGAGAGGGGAGTTAGAGTGATTAAGCAAGTAAACCCAAACTTACATGTTAGGAAATGCTGAAGTCAGAATTCCAATCTACGTTTTCTAACAGACCACAAATAATATACAGTATTCTTTTTGTGATACTAGTATTGTTTCAAAGTGAATGTTGTAATTGCTCTTTTATTAGTAATAGTTCAGTAGTATAGTTTGACCTGTTTTATAGCTGACGTGTTATTTCAGTTAGATACAGTAGTATATCTCCAGACACCTGGCAGTTATTTGTAAATACTTGCTAACTCTGCTGAATTGAATAGTACTTGTCTGCCATTTTCATTTTGCTAAGGCTTAAGAACTGTGTTTTTATTTGCAAAGTGTAATTGCCTATAAGTGTGTGTTTAGTGAAAAGAGGGACTATTCGTGAAATAAAATACTAAAAAAGGTCATTTAAGATTCTTTTTTTCAAGGATTTTTTTATTATACATCCAACTTTAGAATATATATTAGCTCACATTACCTTATCTTTCTATTTATTGGATTTTCATTATTGATCTTGATGCTTATCATTTATGTTTAGATTATGAAATTATTCAAGTTACTTAAGTTTTTGTCTTGACTTTTGGAGGACCATCTTAAACTCAAATCTACTAAATTTTAAGTTTCTACAATAGACTATAGTAGCTAAAATACAGAAGGTTAGATATAGATATCAGAAAAGAAATTTCAGAGCTTATTAGATTGTGAAAATACTCATTTTACCAAAGTAGTGCTCATATTTTAATAGAAGTTATTCCTTACTCCTGTAATTGAATGTAACAAAAATAAAGTATACTAAGCTCAATTTTATTTTGGTTCGGTGATATAGATGAAAAAAGAAAAGATTATACTTTGGGCAGAGCTTTATTGTTCACTGGAATGCTGTATTTAGAAAGCCAAACATTGGTTTTCTTCTTTTTATGTATATGTAGAACATTTGTTTTTGAGACAATTTTTAAATACAAAGCCCTCGAGATCATTAATTCATCTGTGTTTTTCTTCTATAATTGCATTTTCAATTTACTGTTTCATTCCAATAACTTGTTTTATTTAGATCCAAGGATGAACTCTGATGAATATTTAACTCCCATATCCCAACTTCTGTGTACCTACCCACCTACCTTTGCTTCGACAGAAATATTTAGTGGAATGACTTTTAAGATATTCTTAGGAGTTTTGAAAGTATTTCTTAAAGAAACAAGATGATATGTGTGGCATTAAGAACACAAAACCATCCCCAGCGATTGTTTTGTGTGGCATCTGAATGAGTTAAAGATGTATGACAACTGCAGCTGTAATCTCATACATTTAGAAAGAAAACTAAGTTTGCTACATCTAAAAAAAAATGTCTGTTGGCAAACAAACCCCAAATAAAAGCTCAAAAAAGAGAGATTTTATTTCTGTGTTGGTTGTGTGAGCATTTGCAGGGAGGGGTAACTGTGAGTCTTCTTACTGTGAAGTGAACCCGGATCGACTACAGCGCTGCCTTTTCTTTTTTCCAGTGCATGCCGATTAAAGGCCTGGGGTTTGTCCTGGGAGCCTACGAGTGCATCTGCAAGGCGGGCTTCTATCACCCTCGGGTCTTGGTGAACAACTTTCACAGTAAGTGTGCTTCGTTTCTGTGCATGTGAGCGTACACACCTAACACATACCACCGACCACCGTCTAGATTTTCTTTTAACGTTGTTAGCATTTCCTGGTTAAATCTCCACTGCTTTGACGTTCTCTCAGCAGCCAGGGAGCTTTAGTTTCGATTTGTCAGTTACAGTGCTCTGGGGTACCACAAAAAATATTTGCTTGTTTTCCGGTATATGTTAGTTTTCTAAACATTATGAAGTCTGATATAGTTCCTACTAGATAAGACCAATTGGGATTTAGTTATTGAGAGATATTTGTGCAGAAAGTTCCTAAAACTAATTTTGCCAGTTAGTTTATCAAATTATCTACATGTTAGTTTTCTATGTGTTGTGAGCACCTTGAAACAGTAAGGGACTTGAGCATTTGGCACACACACTGTGGTTATTTTTTTTTTTTATTGAGTTTATTGGTACATTTAGGGATACAGTACAGTTACATTCATT